AAGGTTGACAATGATTTTCAATTAGCGCCGCATCAATGTCCGCCAGTATACGCGTAATAAAATAATGTCAATGCGGGGCGTTACGTATACGATAAATCTCAACACTATGTACTGTAATAGAGGGCGAACAGTTCATAAATAACAAGAGAGGCGTTTGCATCTTAACGGTATTTAATTCCACGTCGTGTATCACGGCCGAGAGTTATTAGGACGGGGTGAAGATTTCGAGGTTATGTTTCGCCATAAGCCGCGCAGGAAGATTCATCGCTCGTCGAGGCCGAGTTAACGCGTGACCGGGACTAAAATCCGAAATAGGTTTTAATAATTTCCCGAAGAATTTCGTTTCGTTTCCCTCGCATCCTACCATCTCGGAAATGTCTGACGTCGTATGGAAAGGGAATCTCGGCACATACGGCCGCACTGAGTGATAATAATTAGGTCATTGCAGGGCGCAAAGTGGTGCCTCGCTTAAACGCGTCGACGGCCTTGATAATAAATTTAAACGGCGTAACGTGTTGCAAAATAAGTGCAAACCGACACGCTGCCGTTTGGAGGACCGATTATTAGCACATTACATTGGGGTCGTTAAATTGGGCATTAAATCGAGGGTAACGACTCCCGCGTTGCGGTAGGTCATGCAGTCGACACTATTTCCGGGGTACGATACGATCGCCGATCGGGTACGTCATTTTTTTCTAATCAATAACCACGGTCCCCCTGTGCCCCCACTCGGCATTAAATTGCAAAAATACCGCGGAAAATAAATTCCGAGGAAAACACCACCGATAAACGTCGCAATTTCTCCAATTCGATGGTGAAAACAGGCGGTGAATTTTCCCGATTCGGAATTCAGTATGAATAAAACGATTCCAATTATTGCTTCGTATTTAATTATTGTATGATAGTACTCGTCCGAAAATTAGAAAATTTAAGCTTGGAAACGATTTCACTTGGACCTTTGTGCAGTGAATTCTTTCAGGTGTCATCATTAAAAAAATTCGAGAAACACCTAATTAATTGAGTAATTAAATCGCTACGCTAAATAGCGGTGACAAGGGCAATCCAGGGTACAAGGAAACAATCTGGATTGGACTTAACGTCACCGGAGGAAGTAAATCCAGGCGCAACAATCGCAGATCCGGTGAATCCTCGGCGCACCGAGGAGCACGCCTGCGTCTAATTACCAGACGTTCATGAACATTGAGACGAGGCTGACGATCTCAATATTGCAGGAGCTCGCCGGTCGTGTCGGCACCGCCTAGCCCGCGGTGCAATTCTCATTTCAGCGATGGAATATGAAACTAGTTAGCCCTTCCCACCGGCCCAAGCGTCGGAGGAATTATGCAGATTATATGACGTCTAATTTCCCAAATACCTGCATCTGCATTCACTCAAAACCGTCCCCCTCGAGCTCGGAAACCCCGACCAAAGATCCCCAGTGACCGAAGGTGCACTTCAGGGAACGCCCCTAAATATCCGTGATAGCTGATGGTGGAATTGAAATTAAAAGAAATAGATAGAAATGCCGCGGTTTTACTCGACTCGACTCCCTTACCTGCCATGATCACGGAAAACGGGGACGAAACCGGTCGGCCTGAGAATCGATAGTGCAGACTTCAATTTCATGCAATATCGCGCGCATGGAACGTTAGGACGAAGATAACGATGCTGATATTACGGCAGTTCGTCATTGGTGCATGCTCTGTCGGGGATCGGTGCAATCATGATCCCTGGGGTGGAATATGGCGCACGGCGAATAATTCCGACAGATCTGGGAAATTCAGACATTAGACGGATTTATACCGCGTATCATTTCTGGAAGACCATGTTTACGTGCGCTAGAAAATTCCCGTTTACCAACTACGAGGTCGGTGCAAAAGAGAACAGAGAGATATGGTACCGCCAATGTAAAAGGCCGATGTATGAGCGTACATATCCGATCCGGTCGATCCGGAAAAATCGGAACAGAGTTTTCTAAGAGGAACGTGTCCACCTTTTCGTTTCCATCCCGTCCCGTTCGATCCGATCTGATCGGGTCAGTCTCCGAATCTTCTACGACCGATCGCCACGATATTGGAAGAACGGAGAGGTGGAAACGCTTCCCTTAGAAAACGTCATTCCGATTTTTCCGGATCGGACACCAGCCGGACGTACATCGGCCTTTTGCATTGGTGATACCATATCCCTATGGGACTCGTTCACGTTCGTCTCTGTACAAACCGGAGACGGGTCGGGTGTAAATCGACCCTAACACTCGGTCTTCTTATAAACAACAATATCTGCTAATTCTCATATTGGGAGAAAAAATTAAAATCATTTCCGTAATAATTTTTTCCATTTTGGTCGGTTTAGATCGATTTCCTTCATACTTTGCCCTACGTGTTGCACCGACCTCATTGTTGATAAACGCGAAAATTCGTCCCTGTACAAACCGGAGCCGGATCAGAGACGGATCGGACGCGTATATATCGACCTTTCGTCTTGCTGGAACTAATATCGAGTGTTATCAAAACAGAAAAAGAAAAAGTAGCCAGGGAGGCCTCTCGGCCCAACGATCCGACCCAATGATACTCTCCACCCTCTCGGTGCGGATCAAATCGGGTAACAATCCTTCCCGCGGCATATCCTCTCCTCGACGAAACAAAAGATGCGATGCCAAACAAATAAAACGTTCCCCTACATCGGGGTGGCGTTAATCAGGGCGGAAGTTAAGCAGTAACTAAGTGGTGGGTAGCGTTACCTCGTTTGTACTTGACGAGGCTGCCAATAATTCCAGGAAAGGCGGAGAAGTTTGCGAGTCGGAAGGTTTCCCAGATAAATTTGCCTGGTAGTGTTATTTAATTGCATCCCATGCGGATTTTGGGACCACGAGTCTGGTGTACATCTTTAAAGACGATCGCTACCCAGATACATGATCAGTCGAGGTTTGGAGCCAACCAAGATGAGCTTAATTTCGAGAGTACCTGCAATCAAGCTCGCTGATAGAAGTACAAGTCTGGTGCCCATCTTTAAGGATGATCGCTACCCAGATATCGTATCAATCGTCATTCGAATTCAACCAAAATGAGCCTAATTTCAGGAATACCTGCATCCGCGTTCGTCGATGGTCCTCCGACAGATCCCAGTCGCTTCGGCAAAGGAACCCACTCGAAATGAACCTAATTGCGAGAGCACCTGTATCCGCGTTCACTGATCGTCCTGACAAAGCCTAGGCGTTTCACCAGAGGAACCCAACCGAGATGAACCTAATTTCGAGAGTACCTGCAATCAAGCTCGCTGATAGAAGTACAAGTCTGGTGCCCATCTTTAAGGATGATCGCTACCCAGATATCGGATCAATCGTCACTCGAATTCAACCAAAATGAGCCTAATTTCAGGAATACCTGCATCCGCGTTCGTCGATGGTCCTCCGACAGATCCCAGTCGCTTCGGCAAAGGAACCCACTCGAAATGAACCTAATTGCGAGAACACCTGTATCCGCGTTCACTGATCGTCCCGACAAAGCCTAGCCGTTTCACCAGAGGAACCCAACCGAAATGAACCTAATTTCGAGAGTACCTGCACTCACGCTCGCTGATAGCCCTTCTGACGAGGCCTGGCAAGCCACATTCAGACCCAGGGATCATGGATGTCACTCCCAATCCAGGATAACACGACTACCAGCCTCGGGCAGGAATAAAATAACGAAAAATCCCTCCAGGCGCGATAACGTCATCCAGGTTCCTGGCTGGAGCCAGCAAGGCATGATCAAACGGCACCTCGAAACGGGCTCCGTTGATACACCGATCTCTACACATTCTTGTCTGGATCCACGGAACGATCTTCCTCTCTCCAAGCTCGACACAACGTGCAATTTCAAACAAACAAAAGGGGTCCCGGCAACAATGCTACGATTAAATCACGTCACGCGTTAAGGACCAACTTACGTTAGTGGTGGGAATCGTTACCCCGTTTGAGCTACTGGCGCTGCCAATAAATCCAGGCTCAGCCATGATGGGGACAAAATGTTTCCGGAGTACGTTTACGCGTCCTAAGGTCCTTTGATTCCACTTTACCCGAGGCTTGGGGAATATTAAGACAAAGTGGAAAAACGTCCGTCGTCAGGGATGATCGTTACGGCTAACTGCTGGGTCGAGTCGTCGCTCGAAAGATCCCGCCAGAATGTTTAATTCCCAGGAGATTCGACCCCCGAGGTGATTCTAAGATCCCAACAGAGCTTGGTAACGAAATTCGCGACCCACCGAGGTGTACCCGATGAGGAAGACGAGCGGGTCTCATCACGAGTGCAGGGTCGGTTATCGTTGCAAAAAAGGAGCCCAACATGGATGGTTAAAAAAAAAATAGAAGCTGAATTTTTCCGTACCCTGAATCATGAAAAGCGCGACTAAACGCGCCGCGGATTAAATTCGTAAAATCTATGATATCACTGACCCTCCCCAAATTCAGAAAACGATCCTCCTGGACACAACAAAATACTCGGACCATACAAAGAAAACGTTCCCGGGATCGTGGTTACGGTCTTATCGTGCCACAATTTGTCAAATTGACCGTGGTGATCGTTACCTCGTAGAGAAGCGGCAGGGAAATCGGCACTAACTGCAGCCCCGGCAAGGACCAGAACAAAAAGCCGCCTCATCGTGTTCACACGTCCGAATCCCTGGATTCCATTTCGCGCTTCTTGCCCGCGAACCGCCAGGGTGGCGTCTGTCGCCAGGGCTGACCACTGAGAAACTGCCGGGTAGATCTTCGCATCGACCAAGACCTCGCAAGACCTCGCAAGGATCGCCCACGCTCGACAACCCCACCGGCAAAGTACCACAGTCCTCTGCCGAATCCCCAAGTGGGAAGTCCTGAGGGGTAGTCACCCCTTATTCTCGAAATGCCGCATTTCTCTCGAGTCGCTCGCACTCGCGGGAAAACTCATGCAGAAAGGAAAAGAAAAACTAGCATACGTAAGTCGGAAACCAAGGAGACAACGAATAAGGGAGAAGTGCGTTACCTCGTTTGGACGTGCTGTCGGCGGTGCTAATAAATCCAGGTACGGCAATCACGAGAACAAAGAGTCCACAGTGTACCCAAAACATGTTTATGTCTTAACAACATTGTTTAATTCCATATTACATGACGCTCGTGAAACACTAGGGTGGCGTTGGTTCGCTGGTAGCCGCGTCTGCTCGTCATCGGTGAGTACTAGCTAGCCGCCGGGAGAGTCATCGGTCGTTTCACCGGGCCAGACGGGACCGCGGCTGGAGCGAGCGGAGCGCTCCCTCTCTCCTCGCCGTCTCTCTCTCTCTCTCTCTCTCTTTCTCTCTGTCTCTCTTTCTGTCTCTCTCGTTCTCGCTATCTCTTCGTCCCGCCCTCTCTCTTTCTCTCTCGGCCCGGTCTACGCCTGTCGCGACACGGCAGCCGCGGGTCGCGGGCTCGCCCAAGTCTAACCTCTTCTCGTTGTCGCGCTCGGAGCGGAAAGAGTGGCCTGACTGACGACGCGCCCGGGTCCCGGGGTGTATCACGCCTCGGCTGCCATCTTCTCCCGACGGCGGAACTCCGGAGTATGAAAATATTTGCGGCCCCTCTACCCGCTCGCCCTAGACCACCACCCTCGAGCCTCGGACCCACCTCTTATCGATTCCTGCGCCATTTCCCGTCATTCCTGTCGAATCAATAACGGCTCCTTCGCCACGAACCACCGGCGACCCACCAGAGCGCCCGGAACGGGAGGGAGACGCGAGAGCCACCCCCGGCCGCCGCCGAGGCGCCGTTCGAATCTCCCGCCGGAGGCTGCCGCCCGGGCTGGACCCCTCCCCCCCGACTCTGGGTACCCGCGCCGCGGGGAGATCCTCCCGATTCGCGTATTCCAAGGGACCAAACGGGACCCTCGAGTGTATTAAATACCGAACGTGAATGGGAGGGATTACGACTTGTCGAAGGAATGCCGTGTAAGGTTCTTTAGTGGCTCGGTGGAATCGACTTTAAACCGAAAGCACTTGGAACGAGGTTCGGATTTCCCGCCGGAGGCTGCGCCGCCCTCCCGGGCCGGACTCCGAGAGGATGCGCGCGCAGACCCTCGACAGGGGTATCTGGGCCTTGGCGTGAACCTCGCGATTGGTGCATCCAAATGGAGAGAACAGGGTCAGGAGAGGATCTAGGGACCCTGGAATGTATTGAATACCGAATGCGAATTGGAGTTATTGTGGCAGAAGCATGACCGTCTAAGGGTTGGCTCGTTGGAATCGATCTTAACCATCGGCACTCGAGATGCTGTTTGAATCTCCCGCCGGAGGCTGCCGCCACCCGCCCGGGCTGGACCTGGAGATGCTGCGCGTGCGCCGCTCGTCGCGACTATCCGGGTCTCGGGGAGAAGCTCGCGATTCTTCTATTTGAATCGGGTAACCGATACGGAGACGGACGATGTATGGAGAAGATTAAATACTGAGAATAAATAGGAATTGTGAGGAAATACCAACTAATCTCTTTCAACGGATGGTTGGGATCGATTATGGCGAAGAGCGCTGAAAACGCGATTCAAAATTTCCCGCCTCTGGCCGGGGCTGGACCCAGAGAGACCGCGCGCGCAACCTCTCCGCGCAGCTCCGGGATGTCCAGGTTACGAGGGAAATCTCACGATGCGAACATTCGATTTCGTAATTGATTCTATAAGAGGTTCTATTAGTCCTGAAAATTTAAACCCCACGAGGGAGTAGGTCGATTACAGTTTTCTAGGTTAATATCGACGAGATGCTTTTAATGGATCGATTCGATTAGTCAGGAATCGTTAAGACGTTTGAATTTCCCGCCGCAGGCTGCCCGGGCTGGAGCCGAGCGGGCTGCGCGCCGGCCTACTGCGCAACCCCGGGCGCGGAAGTCGAGATGCCCCGGAAGAACTCGCGGTGCATTTACTCGGGTCGATAGACTACGTCGAGCGGACGTTCCGTGAGTTTTTCAGGCGTGCAGACGCCGTTTATGGAGGAACGGTGATAGGCTTTTCCTTTTTTCTTTAGGAAGTTCCACCGGGAGTCCTTTGATGTGCCGCTGAAGTAATTACAGGTGGAAACCGTGGAAGCTCCGTTCGAATTTCCCGGCGGATGTTGATGCTGGTCCATACTCGGACAGGGGACTCGCGCCCGTTCCTGCGCAGGTCGACTGCGCATCTCCGAGCACTTTGGAACCAAAGGGCGGAAAATCAACTAGAAGAATGTCCACAAACATACATTTCAGACCCGGGGAAGAAGAAATTAAAACATCCCCATTTACGCCTTCGAGCTGTCGAATATCCAATCTACCATTCTGCATCGTAAATAATCGGTAAGTTATAAGCGTAATCTCCTAAAATCAGGAATCATCGAAAACTGAGGAAGTACGGAAAGCTGTTCCTATATCGTGGGGAGATTCAAATTTCCCGCGCGCTCTGCGAAACGAGGGCATCGTATATCCTCTCCGCTTGTAGTCGCGATATTAAGAGATCTTGGAATATTTTTAATACTTATTAATCATCATCCGAAGCTAATGTAGTTGTTGTATTTTACGTTACAGGTGAAGGCACTTCCAAATCCGTCGTTGCTTGAAATGAAAAGAAGTGCATTTTATGTGACGGATATCTTGTTCAGTTTCTCAGGCCCCGTTTTTACAGTTTTGACATTTCTGGAGTGCGATGGGAACGTGGCAAAATCTGGGATTACTCGATCTTGGATTTGGACTTTTTGGTAACGACGTCAAACGGAATAATTGCGGAACGATACGCGCAGGTACGAGCCAGGGAACAATTATTTTAAATGACGTCCGAAGCGAGACTTCGCGTTTGGCTTAGTCTGTCCGTATGGATGAGAATGCCCGATTAATATTCCCTCTCTCTAGGGAGGGAGAGAGTAGGAGTAGTTCCGTAGCGAGTTCGTCTACTCCCGCTAACTTCAGGGATCAGCATTGAAGTACCATCTTGAATTTGGTGCGCTCAGGAATCCTCGCATCCGAATTGGAGGATTCGGAGCATGCATACTATTTTCTTTTGCAGGAATTAGAAGTTCTATAAGCCAACCTGGCGAGTGGAATTTCGGTGGCTCATCACTTGGCTTGGCTCCTCTCTCGACGACCCTCGACCTCGGTGCTCCGGTTCCTATTACGACCTAATCTATAAGCCAGATCTAATTATTTAATCGTTAAGAAACACCTAAACTCCCCGAACCTCTCGCTTTAACGTTACGACCGGGTCGAGTACCCTTTCGAGGTAACTTCCCATAACATTTTTTATCACTCAACTCCAACATGAATTTCATGAAATTTAAATGCCGCCTAAGAAGAGTATAAGACCGCTAAGTAACGCCATTTACTGATGGAAGGGATGCAGGAATTATCTCCATCTCTGCCTTTACCAAGGCTCCGTCTGGAAGTGCCATACTGATAATTATTTTCTTTTGTAGGTCGTATCTTAATTTCTCCCATTTTCCTTGCTTTCCCTCCAGAGGGAAAATAAGGCGAGTTAGCCCCACCTTCAAGGGGAATTAAGGTAATACCCTCCAATGCTCTAGAATTTTATGAAATTTATATATTGTAAATAGCAAGGTGAGGCCATTTACTAATGAACAAAATGCGCTAATTACTTCCATGGTTCTCTTTAACAGAGATCGCTGGAGAGTGGTATCCTCCAGGTATCATCGCCACCACCTCCGCATCTGAAGATCAATTGGCGGAGCCATTTCCGGGGTCCTCTGGCAATCGATGAACAGGTGTTCAGCATGAAACCTTCCAATGATCCAGGATTTTATGAAATTGAAATGCCGTAAATAGTAGATTGAGTTAATTTATAATGAAAAAATATACCAATTAATTCCACGGTTCTCTTCAACAGAGATCGCTGGAGAGTGGTGTCCTCCAGGTATCATCGCCACCACCTCCGCATCTGAAGATCAATTGGCGGAGCCATTTCCGGGGTCCTTCGGCAATCGGCGAACATGGTTCCGACGTCGAAAATATCCGGAGGAGTCCCCAGGTCCCCGAAGTAAGCGACTTTCCCACGGCAATCCATCTTTGTTCGAGCGGACGCGTAATGAGGGCCTTCCCTTGTCGCGTGTCACTTAGGGCGTCAACCGAGCGTAGGTGACACCGACATCCGTTTAGCGCCGGTTCCGGGGGTGTGTCCGGCTAAACAGTTTGGCGAAACCTTACCCCCTGGAAATGGCCTTAACCGAGCCACTCACGCTAACGACAAGCAGCACGCGAGAATGCCACCACGTGGAATTCTCCGGGATTCGGCCTGGCACGTGCGACTGATTTTACCGGGGCGATTGCTGCCTGCTTGGCGTGCCTTCGCATCCCAGGATGTGATTCTCGCGATATTAGGCCGTTTGCGCCCTCGCGAGGGGAGAACAAGGTGGCATCTTCAATTTCTGGAGGCGGACTCGCAGATGCCACCGGGTACTCCACCCCCGAGAAAGGCCTCGTTACGCAGGGGACATTAGTCTTAGCTACAAAAGCTCCTGGACCTCCCCCGTTCATTGTTGAATTATTTAGCCCCATCTTTTTATCCTCAGGGAGACGACTCTCCTCCTGTGGAAGGAAAGGAATCAAGGATCGGAGGCGAGAGTCAGGTCGGATCGGAATTCAAGAGTTCGAAGGGACGAAGAAGGATGAAGCTCTTCGTCAGGGTTTCCTGGATAGGTGAAGTCATGGGTAATGTAATGGCAGGACGTTTGCAGTTCGACCTACGAGCGCGGTTTCGATACTAAGGGTTTATCTATGCATTGCAGGATTCCATTGCCCTGTTGTTCTCTACAGAGTTCTTGTTCACGGCGTTGAACTAATTTTCCCGGAGTTACTGCCATCCGTTTGGCGTGCCTCCGCATCTAGATATGTGATTTTCGCGATATTAGGCCATTTACACGCCGGCAGGGAATACGCGCAGGTCGCCAGACTGCATTTTTTAAAGCAATCTTCCGGATGCTACTGCATGTTGCCGCATCGTAAAGGACAACCGTTCTCGATACACCTTCACGCCCGCTGATTCTACCTCCCTTTGTTTTTCTATTTTTTTTTTTTTTTTCTAATGAAACACATAAAACTGCCAAAGGAGAATCGCTGCTCGATGTCTCGCCCG